TTTTTTTTTTTTTTTGTACCAAGGATCGAACTCAGAACCTTGCGCTTGTGCGTCAGGCACCAGAACCAGTGAGCTAAATCCCTGGCAAAAGAAAATATCTTAAGATGTATTCTTAAGCATATGCAGGGCACTAGGTTTGATACCCAGTCCCTAAATAAATAAATAGACTCCACAAAAACATCAGAAACAAAGCTTAGGTGTAAGCCATGGGCTCACAGAGCTTTATCCTACTCACTGCTTTAGGTTCATTACGCCTAGAAATTTTTTTTTTTTAGAGCAGTCCTCTATCCCCTACTTCTACCAGGCAGGGGGAATCCAGGTTTCAGGAGTCTCAAAAATCACCCGAGCCTCCCATCGAAAGCATCCCCTCCACCAGGAGAGGGGTTTCTGTTTCTGTTCTGTTTCGTTAGAAAAGGGCTTGAACCTAGTATAGTGGTGCACATTTGTAATGCTAGCACTCTGGGAGGCCGAGGCAGAAGGATCCCAAATTTAAGCCCAGTCCAGGAAATTTAATGAGATCTTGTCTCAAAATAAAATGGGCTGGGGCCAGGGATTTAGCTCAGTGGCACTGTGCCTGCCTCACAAGCGCAAGGTCCTGAATTCAATCCCCAGTACCCCCAAAAAACAAAAAAAACAACTAGTCTTGCCAAGGGCCTGGCTCTGACGATCCCAACCACCCCCCTACCCCCACCCCACTCACCACCCTGTACACCCAAGAATCCATCACCCAGTTTCTTCATCATCAGTTTGTGGAGCTGGGGGACCCTATGGGACCCCCAAGGAAAGACAGTAGATAAGGGCAACTGCCCGCTTTATTGTCGCTTGCTTCCCCAGCCCTAGAACCCTGGTCCTGGGATGGGGGTGGCTGGCCTCATGGAGGCCTCATAAATTTGAGGGGTCACTGGTGAGGGCGGGGGAGCTGGGGGTCAAGTGGCCACCTATGTTCGCTGGGGCCTGGGCTCCACGTCCAGGCGGCACAGGGGACTGTCGTAGACCATCTGCAGGTTCACTTTGTGGCCCACCAGCTCCCGGATGTTGTTGATGCCATACTTGATCATGGTCGGGCTGGGGGAGGCAGAGGACAGAGCTTAACCCTAGGTCAGATCAAGCTTGCCCTGCCTGAAACCTCTCCATAGCTCTATACCCTTCCTCAAGGAAAAGCCACAGTCCTGCCTCGGCGCACAGTGACTAGTACCATCCCCCCGGCAGCTTCCATCTTCATCTTCTCCCTGTTCTCCAGACACCCATGCCCTTCCAGCCCTGAGGCTTTTGCACTGGTTGTGCCCTGTCCTGGAAACCCCTCCCTCAACACCCGGGCAATCACCCCAGCACCACCTTCAGTCTGCATGGGGGCCACCTCCTCCAGGAAGCCTTCCCTGACCACCTCCGCCCTCCTGTCTTCTCTAGAGCTTACTGTGCTCACACGCACCCTGGCCTTTACTGACGTAGGACTTTTTTTTTTTGGTACCAGGGATCGAACTTGGGACCTTGTGCTTGCAAGGCAGGCAGTGGAACCACTGAGCTAAATCCCCAGCCCACGTCTAACTTCTTATGCTCTTGTTGCCTAAGGCCCTAGCCCATGGAGGCAGGGAGGGGCAGTCGTGTGTGTACACAGCACAGGGCCAGGTGTGACTGGCGCTTCCTGTTAAAGGTCTGTCACACACAGATCAGAAGTCTTCAAACCCTGAGACACACAGCATGCAAGTGCAGCTTCCACTGTATTTCCAGCCACTCCCGTTGCTTCTGTCACTCGAATCACAGCCTGAGATCTGTCAGGTCAGCATCAGATTCTCTTTGGTTTTTTGAGACAGGGTTTCAGTATGTAGCCCAGGCTGATTCTCCTGCCTCAGCCTCCTGAGGGCTGGAACGACAGGCATGTGCCACCATGCCCAGTTCAGCATAGATTCTCATAGGAGCTTGAAACTGCTGTGAAGTTCACAGGCCAGATCTAGGATGTGGCTCCTTAGAATAATCTAATCTCAAGCTACCCCACCCACCTGTGAAAAAACTATCTTCCAGGAAACTAGTTCCTGGTGCCAGAAAGGTAGGAATGCAGATGGAGCCAATAGCCAGGCACCCCCTTTTGGGTAAGGCACTCACCGCTCCAGGGAGAGACCCCAGGCAATGACAGACACATTCTCAGGGAGTCCCATGGGCAGCAGCATTTCGGGGCGGAAGAGCCCAGAGTTCCCGACCTCCACCCACTTCTTCAGACCTGCAGCAAGGACAGAGGCAGCACCTGTGGGTGACCTGGCCCATGGGAAGGGGGGTACCCGTCCTCACCTGCTACTCACCCTGGTGGTAGCTGAACACCTCCATGCTGGGCTCGGTATAGGGGTTGTAGGCTGGCTTGAAGCGCAGCTGGGTGATGCCTGCCAGAAATGGGACACAGGCGTGACCAAGCCCTTTGCACCTCACTCCAACACCTCCCGGCCTGCCTGTCGCGCGCAACCGCTCACCCAGCTTGCTGAAGAACTCTCGAAGGATGCCCATGAGGTGGCCCAGTGTGAGCCCGTGGTCAGCCACCACGCCCTCGATCTGGTGGAACTCAGCCAGGTGTGTGGCGTCCAGAGTCTCATTTCGGAACACTCGGTCAATAGAGAAGTACTTTACAGGTGTGAATGGCTTCTGGGGAGACACCAGGTGGGGACCGCCAGACAAGGGTCAAAGGCCTGCAGGGTGCCACGGCCCCTGCCCTGCCCTGTCCAGCCCAGCCCAGCCGGCCGTACCTTTTTCGCCAGGCGGTAGAGGGCACGGGCACTGGCTGCCGTGGTGTGGGTGCGCAACACATTCTTCCGGGCCTCGTCCAGCCGCCAGCTGTACTTGTACCTTGTGGGGAAGGCAGAGGCCATGCTGCAGTGGGGCCTCACCTCCTCCCTCCCGGCCCCCAGGCCTAGGCCTGCCTCACCCCTGAGAGCCATAGCCGCCCTGAGCGTGGGCCCGCTTGACCCGGTGAACGTAGTCCATGGGGAGCTGCAGGGCCTCTGCTGGGTCTGCTCAGAAGAGAGTAGTTTGCATCAGTCAATCATCAGTGCTCTTCTGTCTGGATTCTCCTGCAGTGCTGGGGGTGGAACCCATGGCCACCAGCATGCTAGAAACCACACCCCATTGTACAGTCTTTAGACCGGCTTCCAGGCCAGGCAGGGTGCGCACAGCTATAATCTCAGCACTCCAGAGGCTGAGTCAGGAGAATCACTGTGAGCTCAAGACCAGCCTGTTCTACATAGTGAGTTCAAGGCCAGCCTGGACTATATAGTTAGACCCTGTCCCATCCCATCCCTCAAAATATATTACCTTCCAGGGGTGCAATCCTGTAAAGCCTAAGACCTGGTGAACCCTGGCCCCTGCACTGGCAAGCTGTGTGGCCCAGGGCAAGTGCCTCTCCCTCCCTGTGCCTCAGTTTCTTCCAACTGTAACAAGGAGGAACAGTACTATTTCCTGTGCTTGGCAGGAATATTGGAACAGTGCCGAGTACATAATGAGTGCTTAATTTCTTGGGTGCTTAATTTCTGTTTTTTTGGTACCAGGCATCAAACTCAGGACATTGTGCTTGCCAGCAGCCATGGTACCACTGAGCTATATCCCGGCCCTAGGTGCTTAATTTCAAAGTTAATTTTTAAAAAAATAAATAAAGGGCCGGGGACTTAGCTTAGTGGTTCTGCCATCTGCCCCACAAGCGCAAGGACCAGAGTTTGATCCCCAGTCCCTAAAAAAACCCAACTAAATAAAGATTGTTTTTTGGGGGGGGTTGAGACAGGATCTCATTATGTAGTCCAGGCTGGCCTCCAACTCACTGCAATAATCCTGCCTCAGCCTTCTGAGTGCTCGGATTACAGGTGTGTACCACCACACCCAGCTTTGAATTCTTTTACATGCCTACAATTTAAAGATTTTGTTAGTTATTATTAATAAATGCTCAATTAATGATTATATTAAAAATATTCGATTGCCTAGAAAAAACCAAAATGAGTGCTTAGGAAGTCTTGGGTGCACGACACCAAAGACAAGTCCTGGCTTTGTAGTTCCTGACTGGCTCACAGGCACCCAAGGGCCTGGGCTCTCCTCCAGGCCAAGAAGGTGACTACTACTGTGGGAAGTGACTCAATTTCAACCGGAAGAAAGGGGAACGAAGATTGGGCACTAGGGGCTTCACAAAACTCAGGGCCACAGGGTGGGTGAGCAAAGTTAGAGTGGCCTTAGTTTGTAGTTTTCTTTTTTTGGGTACCAGAGATCAAACTCAGGACCCTGCACTTGCAAGGCAAGGGCGGTGCCACTGAGCTAAATCCTGTCCCCATGTAGTTTTCTTTTTCGTACTGGGGATTGAAACTAGGTCCCTGTACACACTAGGCAAGGGCTCTTTTTTTTTTCTTTTGGTCCTGGGAATTGAACTCAGGACCTTGCACTTGCTAGGCAGGTAGGGTGCCACTGAACTACATTCCCAATTTTTTTTTTTTTTTTTTGGTGCCAGGGGGGGTACCGGGGATTGAACTCAGGACCTTGCGCTTTCGAGGCAGGCACAGTGCCACTGTGCTAAACCCCCAGGGCTCTTTATCTTTTCTTTACATGGCCTGTGAAGATTAAATGGGAAAGTGAATGTAAGGCACACAGGCATACATTATATATTATTACATGAGAACCTCCATAATCGATCTACTCATTTCCCAGTCTACGTCCTGATGCTACATTTCTGTGGGGGTTA